CTCTTTCCCCCTCGACTCTTCTTTCTTTCCTTCTCTCCCATCCACACAACATCCCCTCTCCCTTCGATCGCTCACGTCCCTCCACTCCCTTCTCGACATCGCAAGGCCTTCCGACATCAAACTGACCCTCTTACGACTAACGCCTCATTACTGATTCCACTTCCAGCTCATCTCCACTCCCACCTGACTACTCTACACCGCGCATACAGTCCACGACTCACTCTCACACGTAGCTCCGTGGTCAATCTTTAGTCTTTTACCCCTTTCAAGCTACTCTAGCCACCATGCGTATCGGACCATCATTCGTCGCTCTGGCCCTTGGGGCTGGATCGCCCATCCTGAACAGTGGCTTGTTCGCTTCCGCCAGCCCCGTTCCCGCGGCGGTCGACACTAGCCCCGCTCCCAGCCCCAACCCCGGAGCGTCCAACGATGGCACTTTCGCACCCACGTCTCCACAGTATGCGAGCGCTAATGAGCGTCACGTCCCTTCCACAGCTGCTCACGGCACTACCTTGCGCCTGACCCAGCGCGCGCTGGCCGGTCTCGGCATCGACAACAAGTGAGTATCTCGTGTCTCCATATGCTACACCTCTTCACAGCATGCGCTGACCATCGAGCCCATCTCGCGCGGTTCTAAACAGCCGCGAGGACCCCCTTCTCACCGGAGACCTTGACCTCAGCGGTCAGTCCGACAATGTTGCTGATGCCCAGCTCAACCTCTGCGGCCTTCTTGGAATCAACTGCAACGACAAGCCCACCGTCACTACCACCGCGACCGCTGTCGTGAAGAACCCCGCCAAGAAGCCGACCAAGTCGTCCTCGAAGCCCAAGAAACCTTCGACCACCAAGAAGACTACCCCAAAGAAGAGTGGCACCTCCGCCAAGAAGATCACTGGTGGTAAGGTCCAGGTGGTGAGTCGTTGCCTCCAAGAAGGATAGACCGGTGCTCTCTATTGACCACGCGCCGACGATGATCTTCCTGTTCGTGTTGCAGAACGACAAGCACCACGCCGATGGTGGAAGCGCCAAAGCCGGCAACGGTGGTCAAGCCAACGGCGGCAATTCCAACTGCTCCACTTCGGGAAGCATGATCGGTCTCAACGCTCTCAACTTCAACTCCTGCAACGGCGGTCAGGGCGGTGATGCCAGCGGAGGCAACGCGACCGGCGGAGCCGGCGGCTCTACCAGCAACAATCTCCTGAAGCGCTCCACTTCTGCTTCGATGAACAAGTCTGGTCTGGCAGCTGCTCAGCAATTTGACAAGGAGAAGCCCGAGTCTACTTCGTCGATCGCTGCACCCTCTGCTAGCTCCACGCCATCGCCAAGGCCCATCACCGAGCGGGACACCGACGCCGAGGTCACTTCAAACAGCTTCGACGCTGAGACCATTGCCCAGCGTGACGTAAATGCTCAGGTCCAGAACGACGGTCTCGACTCTCAGAGCTTGCCCAACGAGTACAGCACCCCTCACCGTCAGCAGTATTCGCCTCGCGACGTCTCCGCGTCGTCGACTCCAGAGGGGATCCAGGCCGTGGCCACTCAGCAACAGCAAGCTCGCGACGTCTTTGCTTCGTCGACCCCAGAAGGCATTGAGGCTATCGCTACTCAGCAGCAACAAGCTCGCGACATCGCTGCTACCTCCACTCCCGAAAGCATCCAAGCCATCGCCACTCAGGAGAACACGGCTCGTGGTATCCTCGACAAGCCAGCCCAAGGTCTGGCTCGCGAGGCAGCTTTCAAGAAGCTTCTAAACAACAACCGCATTGGTCTTCGCGACATCGCAGCTTCGCAAAACTCCCAGGGCATCAGCGCAGAGGCTAACCGTAACGGCACTGACGAAGAGCCTACTCTTGGCGATGACCTTCTCAGCGATGATCAGCCCGAGGACGGTGAAGGTCAAGGTGACGATGACGATGCGGCTGCACCCACTTCAGAGCGTCGCGAATTCGACGCTACCGCCACTGCTGACGAGCTTCAAGCTCGCGCACATGGTCACGGACGTGGAGGCAACGGCGTGAGTACAGGGCTCCGTAGTGGCTATCTTTCTTGAATCCATCCTTACACTTTTGCGTTGATAGAAGAGCGGCCACGGCGGTAAGGCCAACGGTGGTGCTTCTGACTCTCACGTGCACGCCAAGAAGTACGGCGTCCACGGCGCTGACGTGAGCTCGAACAACGGTGGACACGGTGGGTCCGCCAATGCTGGCAAGGCCACTGGCGGCAAAGGAGGTGCGACCAAGAAGCAGACGAGCAAGACCGGACACCGCGCTGCTCTTCACAAGGGACCAATCGTCAAAGTCACCCGCGACGTGGACGCTACCGCTAGCGAGGACGATTTTGAAGCTGGTCTCGCTCAGCGTGACGTTGCTTCTTTCGAAGCCAGCCACTCTCCTAGTGCTGATGACTACTCGCTCGAGACTCGTGAGAGTCACGAGGTCTCTGCCGTCGACAGCCCTGAGGGAGTGCATGCCATCGCGGGTCGCTCCACTGCCATCGACTACACCTCTGAGGACCACGGAGTCAAGGCTGCTGATCAAGCAACCGACTCTGCAGCTAACGTCGAGCGCCGCAGCAACGTGAGCACCGGTATTCGTACTGGCGCCAACAAGAACGGTCGCGTGACCATTGCCAATGCTGGAAACGGAGGCAACGCTCGTTCCGGCAACGGTGGTCAAGCCAACGGACAGGCCAACGGCAACGGATCTCACAATGGCGTTCATTCCGGGTCTCGCAAAACCTCTTCGCACCCAGCGTCGATCGGCAAGAGCACCAAGAAGGCCACCCACAGCGCCAAGAAGAACACTTCTCACATTGTTCACAAGACGGCTACTCGCAAGCCTTTGGCTACCGTCGGCGGTGACGACAGTCTGGTAGAGATCGACCTGCGTATGCTCAGCGAGCTCTTGTCCGAGGAGCAGTTCGACTTCCTGTCCAACTCTCGCAAGTCCAACAAGAAGTCTGTACCAGCTAGCGTCAACGCGGGTGCAGGCCACGGCATCGCTCACGCCAGTGGTTCTTCCAACTACGTCGGCAACGGCAATGGAAGCGGGGGTAATGGTGGCGACGCTCACTCTGGAAATGCTACCGGCGGTCGCGGCGGTGACGCCGTCGTCAACCAGAATTAGGCGAGATCATCTCACCTTCGTTCCGATCCAGCTTCGCGCGGTCTTCTTTGACCTGCCGTCACTCTTCACGACCCCGATAAACCTCTGATGCTCCATCACGACTCGATGTCTTGTTACGATATGATGCCCGTTCCCCCACTCTTCATGCCCGCTCGATGCGCCCGACGCTCTCGGTCGACCCTTTGCATCCCCTCCTGCGCCGTTGCCAGACAGCGGCTCGATCGACTCCGCCTTCGACCAAGGTGAACCGCTGTTTGCCCTCCCCAACCCAGACTTGAAAAGTTTCCGAGAATGTGCCCTTCCCAAATATTTGTTTCATCTCCAAGCGCGATGATTAATACACTTTTACACCTTGATGTCCCACGACGCGCCTATGGCCTTGCAATGATCAACGCTATCCCTAACAAACGCGGGTGTGAGTCGCAGTGTGTCTTGCACACGCAGAAGAAAGAGCCTCCATTTGACGCGCGCAAATGACCGTTTCTCCGCGCCAAGGGCCGTGCGTAGCGTGTGCATTTGTAATCGAGGCGTGAGATCCCTGTTCTCTGAACATTGCAAGCTCTACCAAATCTTCCACATCGCCGCGCTCGCCTTGAACAGCACTTCGCCTCATCTTGCAATTCTAAACCTCTCGAGATGAGCATTTGAGCAAGAAAGCCATCTGGCGAAGCCAGCTAGCGAGTGGAGATGCGCTCGGCCAAGCGCGTTCGCCTCTTCAGCAATCTTCGAGCCTCTGCAAGGCTTGGAAGAGGGGAGCATCAGCGCCTTGCGAGCTTTCCTGCTTTCTTGACTCCAGCATGGTCCGGCGACATACAAGCCTCATCGACTCGTCGTGCTGGCGCGGACGAGAGCGGGGATGAGGGTCGAAGGACGATTCACCTCTCAAGACCTCCTAAAGCCTATCGCTTCTTTGACAAGACGTCCCTTAGGGACTGGACTCCCCATGGCCACGATGCGAACGAGACGCGACAGAACTCTTATGCTTCCACATCCAAGTTTGGCGGACTGCTATCTGCTTTTCAGGATGCGATAGATGCGAAAGATGCCGAGAGGATATTGGAGCTCTACCCGGAGCTGACAAAGCTTCGAGCTGGCGGCCGAAAGGTTCCTCTGAGACCCAGAGAGCTGCGATCGGCTGTCAAGCTGCTCGTCTTGTCGATGCGGAGGATGGATGCTGATTTGGCAAATTTTGCCATCAAGACGTACGATGACTTTGCTGTGAGAGAGGTAGCGGTCAAGAAGGTGAAGACGGTGGCTCGCACAGCGCAGCTCATGTTCGACGACATGAAGTCCTTGTGGGAGTGGGAGGTGATCCCACTGGACGTTCATGAGCAGCTAAGGGTGCGTGCAGCTTCGGCCAGTGCGAACAGCTTCACCCCACGACAAGCCCTCCTCCATCTTTTGGAATCTAGGGCGACTTACGGACTGACAGATCAGCCTGAAGACTGGTACGTTGTGCTGGAATTTGCTGCTCGGAGGCGGGCTCCTCAGGTGGCTCGGGCTGCTGTTCGACTCGCACGCCTTGCAGGAGCACAGCTGGACAGCAGTTGCAGAGACCGATATTTACAGGCTCTCTTCACCTCTCCTCGTCAACACCGCCGCGCTCTCAAGGCTTCTTGTGGTACTCAGCAATCAGGCTTCAGCTTACTGCCGCTCACTTCTCAAAGCACTTCATCCCTCAGCATGTTCGTGAAGGGAGCAACAAGCGCAGGGCTCGCTGCTGAACCTCTCGTGAGACAAGCCGCCACGATCCTGCACGAAACGCTTCTAAGGCCAACAAGCGAGAGCGCTCCTCTATTTTGGTGTTCAGTTCTGGATCACGCTTCGATGGCAGGCAAGGAAGCGGGGGAAGTGGAGTACATGTACTCGGAGGCCATCAAGCACCAGCGTTTGCCAGGCTGCGACGAAGACACGTACCACACTTTGCTCTCAGCGCGCCTCTTCGATCTATCGACTTCAAGCAGCGCTACCGAGGAAGATGTGGTATCGATATTTGAACACCTCGAGCAGCTCACCGGGATCTCCGCGGGTGTTGGTGCATACACTCGAGGGATGTCATCGTTGCTGGGCAGATTTTCCGCAAAGCAGGCTCGATATGCTCGTCAGCTCTGGCCCCCAGCGCCGCATCGACTGCACGAAGCGCAGCTTCTGTACGAACGATACAAGGCTGCTAGGCTGCCTATTGTTCCTCAGCTAGTTCAACCCCTTCTGGATGCGTACACATGCACCTTTGTCCCAAGCATGGCCAGCGCTTTCGCCCTTTATGATGATCTGCGAAAAGCTTTGGCCTCGCCAGTGCCCTCAAATATCTACGACACACTACTCAAGGGCTGCGTCACTGCCAGGGATCATGTACGTGCTTTGGAGCTGCTGCAGCAGATGCGACTCGATGGAGTGCACCTGGATATAGGCATGCGGGAGAAGGCGGCAACTTCCCTGATGAACGCTGCGACCTCATTTGGACAAGCTTTCGATAGCTATCGAGCAGTCCACGGGCTTTGGAGATCTGGGTATCCGAGCGACCCGCATCCTTTCACGTCGCAAGGATGGAAATCGTTGTTGGATGTCTCCCAGAGACTAGCTTGGCGTTGGGCCGGCACGACGAACGAGTACGAGCGGCCTTTTGAAAAGCTTACGCGGTCCTTTCGGCCTGCTGAACCTGTACCTGCCGAGCTGATTGCAAGACTGTTCAGAGACATGAAAAGGGATGGTCATCGACCATCCTCGAAAGCCATCACTATGCTTTTGGATTACTTTGCTAAAGCAGCTTCTCTCCTTGGAGCATCAACTCGCCCTGTACGGCGCGTGGGTTCGACGCGAGCCAGATTGGAGACGATCAGTTCGGCAGTGATGGCGGTGGATCATCTGCTCCAGACCGACGGATCCATCGCCCCTACCATGCCCATGGTGACGGCGCTCATGGACGCTCACAGTCGCATAGGTCAACCTACACGAGTTCTGGAAATTTGGAGGCGTCTGGTCCTGATCAGGGCGCCCTTGACCACCGCTTGCCTGTGCGTCATGCTGGACACGTGCGGCTTCTGGAAGCATTTGCCAGACGCTCGAAGAGCCTTCAAATGGGCTAGAGAACGTTCGCCGGAAGCTGTCAACAAGAATGCCTGGGACGCCTGGTTGGAGTGTCTTTGTCGCAACAACCGCACAGAGGAGGCTATAGAGGTGGCCTTTGAAAGCATGCCCTCAGGCCTCCGAGCGCACCAGAAAACAACATCAAACGATATCGCTGATCCGCCAACATCGAGACTTGATGACAACACTCTTCCGACTTTGGCGAGCCCAGATGCTACGACATTTGAGATGCTGCTGCGCTTCACTGTTAGGGATCGCTTGGTCCTCGTTCATCAAGGCGTGCAGGCCTCGGATCGCAAGTGGTCAGATCTATGCCAGCGCATACAGACAGAGTATCCGGCCGTCTGGTCAGAGATCGACGTGGATGCGATTGAGGTCTG